CAATCTTTACTCTAATAATTCATACTCTCCTCCGTAGTAGTGAGGCATAGAAACATAAATTATAGACGCTCAGATCACTAGCATTGAGAGCGAATTTGATGCGTGAACGCAGACTTCGGAGACTAGATGCTGTATAAAAACAACCAGCTAAAAATGAAGTTCTCAATACTTGATCCTGTCAAAATTAAAGCGCAGAGATACATTTGTTTCAAGTGTAAATCATAATATAAGTTGCAGCGCCTACGCATAGCAGGACAGAGCCCCAGTTAGAGAGAACCGACGTGGCAGAGTTCGCATAAATCTTCATGGAGCCCTGAGACTCATTGGGCACTCCTGACACTTTCTTAACTTGCTCAGAACAAGCAAGTTTCTTGCAAGGCCAGACTCCTACCAGCTCTCGGCCATCTGTCTTAAAAGGACAAAGAAACTCAGTCACACACGCCCCATAAATTGCATCTCACGCGTCAAATCGGCTAACATTGTCGCGCGCCACGCGACACTTCCAGCAACTGCGCTGCAATCCCGCGCACAGCCTTGCTAGGTGAATGCCAGGTATTGTTAATTCGACTGATTCAAACAATGGATTAATAACTGAATTGTAATGGAATTTTCTCTGAACTCGTCATATTATTTTAGATTATGAAAAACGGGGAAAAATCCTGTTTGAGCTCAATCATTTGCAGGTTGATTAGGAATTTCTCTTTTACATCCGGAAACGGATCTAAATTAGAGGAAATGCTACACTAAATGGCTTCCTCTAGCAGATTGGAACGCGTTAGAACTTAACCACACACTGGGCAGATACAAAATTAATAAGATTTCTAGTCGGGTGCAAAATATAATGTCCATCGTTCCTCTTTCAGATCAATTGCATTATACAAAAAATAAGGTAATGTTCGTATATCGTTGTTATTCCTAGAATGGTCATGACAGAACAGTGCGTTTTAAATAATTATATGAAGCACAATAATAACCACGTGTACATGCGAGAAAAGTCCACAACCTTTGAAGGCACTGAATATCACAAATAATATGAAATTCTACCAAATATGAGATCAAATTATTCAACCAGACGCAGAAAAAATGAGAAACATCCTATACTGCTATAAGCTGCGAACAATATAGACATTTTGTGAGCTTTATTTATGTATCATTCGTTAATGAGACAGCGACTAGATATGCAGCTCATTAGCCTTGGCAACAACACAGGCTACAGTTCACAGCGTCCAGCTCTCAGAGCACGTAAACATTAGCATTAACCTCATCAAATATTCGCATTCAACACCATCCGGCAATTCCGCCTTTTAAATAATAAAAAGTTCAGCTGGCAAAATATTAGATATTTACAACATTCCCGAGTGGAGGTGACATGTATAATACGCCAGCAATTATCAAATTTATCCTTGCAATGTACAACGAGGAATAAAATATTATAGCTGCTTCAAGAAAAATCCATTAATAATTCTGACGATATAAAAGTATGTTTAAAGTAGGCTTGGCTAATTAGTGTTCAGGAAAAATTAGTCGATTGAATTTCGAGTGACACAATAAGTGACATGTAACAAGTTCCGAAAAAAAGTCATCGACAAAATTGAGCAGAATAAAGATTATATTATTCCTCATCTTGGCAATAATTTGAGAGCTTGTTATTTGTGTGAATAATTGCGCAACCGCATATTAAGACGCACAGATAATAATCATTTACAATTGCATTGAAGAAAAACTACATAATTTTGCTTCAGGTTATATTAGTCATCACAAACACACTCCAAATTCAAATGGAATACATTTGAACTTGAATTTCTCATTGCAGCGATATATATTTCAGTGAAATTTTGGTCAGCGACGGATATATTTCTAAATATAAACTACGACCGAAGAACTACGTCAAGTTATCGTGCTTGGCAAGATACAAAAATATCACATTTTGAGGTAAGCAGGAGCCGATCCCATTACTGTAATGCGGCTCGAGACAGTCGGTCGCACGCCTTATAAATTCGCCGCAGTGTTCCCCAATGTTTTTACTTTTCAGTAGGTCGGAACTTTATCATTTTCTTACAAGAGAATATAAAATGATTAATGCAAGGCATCCAGTCTTTGTTTTCATTAAATTATTAGGTGGAGTACACAGGAATAATGGCCTAGTCCATTAAAGATTTTAGCGCCTGGGTTGCATCAGCTACTGGTAAGACCATCATAATAGCGGCATCATTTTAGTATAATGGACGTTTTCCATTCACTTGTAAAGCGTCTCGGGTCAGGTGAATGAAAAATGGAGACAACTCACGCGATACAAATAAAACGTTGTTCATGAACCTAATTAAAAAATTTAACAGATCAAAGCTTCACAAGCTCTTCCATGCAAAAAAAAAAAAAAAAAAAAAAAAAAAACTGGTGACAAAACACGACATTGACGCTTCAAAGAACTTGAAAGTAAAAATAATAAGCGCCACAGAAAATAGCGATGATAGCATAAGAAAAAGGTGATCAACTATATCACGCATTACCAGAGCAATCGAAGGTATTATCGTCCAATTGGGTTGCACTAACTGTCATACTATACTTGCTGCTAACGCAAGGGGGCTGTAAGTGCAAAACGAAACTGTAATTTAGTGATGAAATTAGATCGTTGCGTCGTAAAACCGAAAGCAAATTGAAAATAAATCTGGGCGCTGTAAGCAAGGCCGCGGCAGCACAGAGGCCATCTGCATGTAATCAGCACTGCTGATCCTAAAAGCTTTACGCGTGCAAGCGTTGCACAATTTGTTGGGCATATTACGAGGGCATGCTGGAACCTGAGTGATATATGCCACAACAATAACACTGCACTGAGTGTATCTAGATTGACGTTAAATTAACGCTACTTTATAGGAACGATCTCGAGCTAACTTATGAGGAGTGAGGACACCACGTATATTTGAACAATGCGAAAGCAAGTAATATCAAGGACTTGACGATTATTTCATTGGTGTAAACATTCCAATTACGATTAACGTCTACATTCCACTAAAATTTGACAGTAATAATCATATATGAAATGAGTTAAAAATTTTTCATTTGAAGCAAATCAAAATGGGCTTTAGCGAGACGACGATTCTAATCTTAAATTCAATGATTTCATAATGATTAACAAGATTAAAGTTAGAAGGAAAACAATAACCTTGCAACGCAATCACTACAAAACCCACTCAAATTTTCAGAAGCTTTCACAAGGCGCTAAAATATTACAATTGCTCGGAAAACCAGCTAAAATTTAAGCACATTTGACACGCGCCGATACAGTTTGTAATCTCTCCATGCGCGGACTTCCTTTATTGTGATGGCAATCGCAGACACCGTTCTCATCAAAACTTTTAGGTAATTAAATCATGATATATGGAGCGGTATGTTAGGAAAAATAGGCTGCAAAATATCAGCAAGAAGCCTTTTAGTCGCGAATTTCACGGTTGTTTTCAGTTTCGTGAAAAACGACGGTAATCGAGTGGCGCCTAGAGGCAGCCGAGCGTGGCCCAAAAGGCTTTTAGTCGCACTTCGTAAATCAGCTAAAGCCTGGAAAAAGATAAAACATTAAGTGGGAGATTCAATGACCGTGATAAGCGGGCAAGACTGAGGAGCCGGCGACGAGGAGCCCTAACATTACAAAGATTCAATGCAATGAAATACTCGGCTTTCATTGAACTATTTTTCATTAGGAAAGTTAACGAAAATGATGGACACTTCCAAGTTTGCTTATAATCCACTTTTAAACATTATTTACTCTTAAATACAATAATGATTCAGTTTCAACAATCTATCGTTGGTATAAAATTTTGGATCAAAAGGATTTTTCACAGGATAATTCAAGTATCAGATAGATGGTACTCTTCGACACAAGATCCGTGAAAATAATGCTAAAAAAACAGATGACCAAACTTTAGCAGATGAGAGCTTCAAAAGACGGCTTTCAAGAAACTTCACGAACCTATTACGTTCAGTCACTACGAATAAATTATATCCTTTCTAGCTGCGATATCTGCTAATTGATCTTTGCGTGCGTAAGTAGCTTCGCAAAGACCGCTGTACACGTGAAAATGTAGCAAGGTTAAAAGCAACGAAAATGAATTTCAGAATTTATATGTTTCGTAATTAAAGAGCTTCTTTGTCGCAGAGCGAACATTCGCTCAACTCTATCGTCCAGTGTTGGTGGATCAAGATGTAGATGCAAATTTGGAACTGATCCAAGTTCTCGAAGTGTTAGGGCTTACCACTTGACATACATCTAATTAATATTTTTATAGAAAACCCTTTTCCATAACCAAAAACACAAAAGAGCTTAACGTATTAGCATTATTCACGAACAAATGCAAAGTCTTCAGCTTACGATAATTTCAGTAGAAACATATAGCAGGATCCATAACATTCCAACAAAATCTGTTCCTTGTAAATCAACGAAAAGACTCAATCAAAGTCTGGCTATGTAATATTATAGAGAATCTTCATGATCTTTTCCTTCAGATGGAAGCAGATCATAATATAGGCAGCTTGAGAGACGTCGAACGCAAACGGTCGATGAATCTAAGTGCTATAGACTCACCATTGGCTCATCACAGTTATTCTGGAACTGGACAAGTCGCATAAATGTACGAGCTACTCACCATTGGCTCATCACAGTTATTCTGGAACAGGACAAGTCGCATAAATGTACGCGTTACTCACCATTGGCTCATCGCTGTTCTTCTGGAACTGGACAAGTCGCATAAATGTACGCGCTACTCACCATTGGCTCGTCACTGTTCTTCTGGAACTGGACAAGTCGCATAAATGTACGAGCTACTCACCATTGGCTCATCGCTGTTCTTCCGGAACTGGACAAGTCGCATAAATGTACGCGCTACTCACCATTGGCTCATCGCTGTTCTTCCGGAACTGGACAAGTCGCATAAATGTATGCGCTACTCACCGTTGGTTCATCACTGTTCTTCTGGAACTGGACGAGTCGCATAAATGTACGCGCTACTCACCATTGGCTCATCGCTGTTCTTCTGGAACTGGACAAGTCGCACCCTGGTGACATTGTCCATGTCCATGTCGCCGCTGTTGGACTCGAGCTCCTCGCCCCCGTTAAGGAACGGCAGTATGGGTGGAGGTGTCACTCTGACGGCGTCTTCTCCGTACACCTCGTGAGCCACCACATCGTGCGCCTGCAGCAATGCCTGTTTGTTCGCGCCGCGCACCAGCCGAGTCGTGTAGAAATTCATGTGTTTTAGTGGCATCGGCGTGTGGCGTGTTAATTGTGTAGTGAAAAAATCATGGGGATCCAAAGGATGCAGTACCAGATGCAAAAAGAACGTGATTTTACCGAGTTTGAGCGTCACATTTGAGGAGAAGGTATCATAAAATTGAAGTAGTATTCGAAAGGCGTGTGTCAAAGCCAAAGATTAATCAAATATAAATGGGTATGGAGGATGGTTGTCAGTTGTTTGAATTAATAGGTTAAAAATGCCAGTAAGTAATGGTTGGTTGTTGTGTTAAAAAGTCACAGAAATTTGAAGTATTATTTAAAAAATGGATTCATGAAGAAAAAATATTCGCAATCAAGTTCGAGGTTGACGATAAATAGGGTAACAAAGATGAAGAAAGTAGAATATGGTTATAGATTTTAGAAGGTAACTCATAACAAGGATATCGGGAAGGATATCAACAAATCGCAATAAAGGAAGGAACAAAATTCGCTTATGAAATCGGAAATGTGAAATCATATTCGCGGAAATGTGAAATATTCCACAAGAGGAAAGTGACAATATAAATAGGTCAAGAAAAAAAATAAAATAAACAAATTATGTAGCCGTGAAATTTAAAATTAAAGATGAAATGAGAACAGACGCATCAGATGCAATGAAGTGTTGGAGATGTACAAATCACCATAATGAGAGACGTGTTGAGTATGATTGTAAGCACGTCGTATGGTGCAGACGTCATGCATGTTAGGTGATGTAGAGTGTGAGTGTACGACGTGTGCCGACGTAATACATGTTGTGTAGAGCGTGAGTTGTGTAGAGTGTTAGTGTGCGGCGTGGTGCAGACGGTGTTAGTGATGAGGGGAGAGGACAAAAAGCAAGCGTTAGTTGAGTTAGAGCACAATACGAAAACAATCTACTTCTTGGTCCCAACTAAAAGTATTTATGTTAAAGATGTGATCATACTAAAAACCTGGGAACAGGTACTATGGTTAAAATGAAACTACAAAGAACATTTAACCTAACATGGAACCGTTCACGAGGCCAAAGTACAACGAATTTCTTCCAGCTGAAATGCCGCTTTCATTAAGCAGATGCTTGTACCCAATAACACAATTGCTTGAACTTTATAGCTATGATACGCAATCTATATTTTGATAAAATAAATCTGAGTTGGAGCTCGCAAGAGAGTACCATGAAATCTTGAGTCGTGATCCACATCCGTACGAATGAAAAAAAAAAACTCAGTGAAAATTCGAGCTTCCTCCAAATGCAGATTTAATTGCAAAAACTTCTTTTATGAACCAAAAAAGACCATAATGGATATACAAGAACCCAAAAGGACATGAATACTCGCTGAAAAGAATTGCACATGAGGTTAAGCAGTTATAGAACCCCGATTGGTAAGAGGTCTCTATCCAGCTGAATTTTAGTTCTACGAAAAAACTTATTACATATTTATGAATGGTATAATTTCATGAGAATGCATACATCACCTGCTCGTTGACATGAGAAATGCAGAGGGGACGTGAACAAAAATTTTCCATACAGTTTAAAAAGTCGTGAAATAGTATAAAAAATGATAGCAATTATAAATACAAGAAATATGCTTGAGTACTAAAGAGAATTAGTGTTTTTGTGCGAGTAAAACAGTGCGAAACAATGCATGAAAATGGTGAACGTAAACTGTTATTTACACCACAATTTAAAATTAAAAAGAATACAAAATAGAAATGCGATACTAAGGCTACGTAAAGAAAGGAAAGTGCAGGAGAGATATGTGTGCCGATTGTGACATGTTAATACTTATGTATAGACCATAGTCGGGAATATATGCCATCTAGATTCCTGCTCGCTTGAAATGATCGATTTGAACCAATCAGCGGAGAATGCCGAGTGTTTCTATCTCCGTTGTAAGTTTGCCTAACTTGTTAACTTTAATTTTCGGACCTCGTTGAACTTAAAAAAATAAGAACTATTTTACAAAATGGAATAAAGTAATATGAATATACAAATGAAGGAAGACATTAGGAGATAAAAAACTGGTACAGAATTTAGGAGAAGCTGAAGATGCGCCTAAATAGAAATTAATTTTTCCGGAGTAATGATTTTATTCAAGCGTCATCACAGCTGCTACTGCTCGGCGTGAGCTACGCACGCAGTTCCGAACGGCGGCATCCACAGTTATAACAAACTGCGAACATGAAATTCTATGAAAATTACCTTGGCAAGAATTTTAAAAACAATCGAGATAACGGAAACATTATGAATTGTTTATAATTAACTTTCATTTCAGATGGTCTTCGTAGTAAGAGCTAGACTTTCAATCTCACTTTGAATACGTCTCTAAATAAATCAATTGGTAAATATAATATCAATATATATCATTTTTATATATAATCAATATATAAAAAATAAACTCTCAATGAATTCTTTTCATAATTGAAAGAATGAAATGGAATTCATTATGATATGTGCAATATACTGTCACTGATATTTTGCACGCCACTTGGCGAATAAAATAAATAATTCTACTCGGTACATCACCGTGTACAGGATTTACTCACTACTACTTCAACTTGTGTCACAATGAAACATTGCAAACGTTTACCAGGATTTCCCGTGATTGCAAAGGTGCTCAGGTTAATCTGATCGTATTGAATACTTGAATATCCTAGCATGGAAAAGTACATTACTCGACCATCAGTTTCAAGCGCGTACACATCAACATTGGACGCAACAAATATGATATAATTTCCCAATATCGTGAAAACTAACGTGAATTAATCAATATCAATTGAATAAATTATACAGAAGAAGTACTAGAAACTATGCAATTGAATAAACATGCGGAAGAAATACATTTTACATACGTATCACTTTAAGGAAGAGAGGATTTGAAAAATCCTAGCTCTCCTTCCAAATTAACTTTAAAAATCATAAAACGTAATCTCTCAAATACAAAAATGAAGACCAATGTTAATCAGATCGACGAGCTTTCAATCCCTTTCAATGTCAGAAGCTTGCTAGGAATACTTCGTCCATTACGGTTAGTTAGAGAGCCCAAGTTTTCTGAGAACAAACTTGCCTACACATATAGAATCCACAACTTTTAAGGAAACCTCACATTCTAGGCACTACGTCTTTGCTCTGCAAAGCTCACATTTTAGGGAGCATGATTTTCTCTGTCAAGCTCAAATTCTACTCAGCACTGCTCTATAAAGCTCACATTCTCGGAAGCACTGCTCTACAATTAAAGCTTCTTTCTACAGATAACTGCTCTACAAAGCTCATTTTCTAGAGAGCACTGCTCTACAAAGCTTCTTTCTAGAGAGCACTGCTTTACAAAGCTCACATTCTCGGGAGCATTGCTCTACAAAGCTCACATTTAATGAAGACGAAAAGTCATACATTTTACATACTTTCATTGCGGAAATTCAAAATATAACTGAAGAAGTACCTTCCCAGCATGAATGTTTCAATATGCATACACGGATACACTCGTACTTCGACTATAAAATCGATGAACTGCAAGGAGTGCGCCTCAACATGCTCGGTTGACACATGATCCAAACATACGGCTACCTGAATAATGAACATAGGGCAGAGGAAAGTTTTGAGCCGGAAGTAAAAGGTTAAAGTAAGAAACAGCAAGCAGCAAGATAAAATATTTATACGCAACGATTTCATGCAAGAATATGAAGTACAAACGCGTTCACAATACGATAAAAGCGTTTAAGTTAGTTCAAGGCTAAAATTTATTTCAGCGAGTATTAGCTGCGAATACCGGTAAAGAAAAATTAAACTTAAATTCTTACTAAACCACTTGAAAAGTCTTCAATTATCCAGAATTTCTTCAGAATAGATTGTATGACTTCCAATCATAACAGAATACTAAAATAAATCTATTCATGACAGATAGACGGTAACAACACGCAAAATGGCCGGTACATAAGTAATCTTAATATGACCTACGCCATCAAGCCACGGGCATAATATTTTTGAGCACCAAAAAGAGCACTCAGTTTTGAAGTCACCGGAGACGCCGACAAGCTCAAGCTCAAAGATATACCACGCTGAAGGCACCATTACACAACACTTCAGCAGCGCACGGCGAAGAAGGTATTTGCCAATACTTGCATGCAGTGGACGGACGCAAATAGCATTTGCATGTAGCTCACGAAAGGACGCATCATTTGAGCACAATTCACGAGGGAAATTCTTGCATGTATCGAGAGGTGCGTTGAGGAGAGGAAATGTAGGCAGGCTGTTGCTGATGAAATGCACCTGATCGCGACGGCTTAGTTCGCCTCTAAGAAGATTTCGGGCCACAGACCCCGGCGCCGACAGCAGGTCTGGCTCTTCGCATCAAAGCCTGCATGTCTGAAAGCTTGGGCCTAATGCACAAAGTCAGCGCAGTTGCCGTCAAAGATATTATTCAACGGGAGCAAAATATCGTCGAAAAATATAATATGCGCCTTATGAGCGACCATATTTCTGTTGTAATAAAGTTCACTTCGCAGAGTTACACGATATACGGAAAGGAATGAATTTGAATTAAGAAATGTGAAAAGAAAACGTCACTAGAAAAATGTTCATATTGTGAAGCGAAATTCACATAACAATCGAAAGTGACTTTGCAAGCCGCCGTGGAATTGAATTTACACGGACATCATCACATGAAATAGCTATACAGGAGTATATTGGAAAAAATAGAAGAAATTAAATGAGATAGGAGAGAGAATAAAATTAAACAAATGAGTGAATAGAGTTTAATTTAAAAGAGAAAATAGCGGGAAAGAATATCAGAGAAAGTATAAAAATAAAAAGATGAAGATGCAAATCTAACATGGCACAAGCATTAATGTAACAGAAAATCATAGAGCCCATTAATTGCTGTTCGTCGTATGAGGTATGCACGCCTATCTGCCTCACCAGAGTGCTATAGCTCTCAGGTCTGCCTCACGCCTCACCAG